TTATTAATGCAAATATTTGTTAAATTCCAGTTCGTTTTAAAATTTAAAAAGGAATAAGATATTATTATTAGATACTTTTAGGGCTAGGAATGGCACCCTCTTCCTAAAACAAACAAAAAAAACACAATTTAGGGCTGTGGGTTATAGGAGTGGCGATTAAATCTAACTATAGCCATATACTTTTTACTAAGGGTGTTATTTCCTCTGGTTTGTAAGTTTAAAATTAGGGACGGCTATGTGCAAAGCTCTTGTGGTAGATTTGGGTGAAAGTAACAAATAGCTGATATGTGAAGCATATAATTTGTAATTCTACCTCATATTAGAGCCTAAAATTGTAAAATTTGATAAAATTACTATTCTCACGCGTTATATATAAAAGGCTTGTTTATTTAACATGCTTAGCCATAATCATCTTAATGATAATAAAAATATTACTGTCAATATAAACGTTCTTGTAGACTATGGCGAACGTTGTCGTGTAATTCTAATTATTAATATAGAAAATATTTTATTTCATTTATACATATATATTTATGATCACCCCAGCAGGGCCTATGACGTCATCTAAGAATCGTCCGAGTGAAAAAAAAAATCCGCAGTTTTATAAATTTCTTTAGTGCTGTACATCTTCTTTGAAGTTGATTTTTAAATACTTCCATTCAAAGATGATGATCCTCTGATGAGCCACGGCGGTAAAACGCGTCTAAAAATCGGAAAGGTTGAAACCAGTAGTGAAGATAATCGACACAGTGATTAAAATAAAATAAAAAATAATAAAAATGGGAAAGGTCGAAACCGTAGGTGAAGATAATTCGACACAGTAATTAAAATAATAAAAATATATATAAATGGGAAAGGTTGAAACCGTAGGTGAAGATAATTCGACACAGTAATTAAAATAATAAAAAATATATATAAATGGGAAAGGTTGAAACCGTAGGTGAAGATAATTCGACACAGTAATTAAAATAATAAAAATTTATAAGCAGCTGAAATATTTTGTTTCTAGCCAAAATTAAATTACAAAAAAACATTAGTGTAGCGTTTGTAAGTACGAAAACGGATGTTTACCACGTGATCACGAGGGGTAGATAGGTGTATTTGAAAGTAAATAGTATAAATTACATCAAAAGTATATGTGTAATTATACCAGCACTTTATGAAAGTTAGTATAAAACCAAAACCGATTAAGATATTATATATAACCAAAACAATTACACGTTTTCACCTGTATATACAATTAAGAAATCGCGGGTATGTGCGCGCGAGCACACACGCATCGGGCTTTTGATATTTAACTAGTTTTATAAACGTTTCAGAAAGGTGGCGTTTTTTGTTGTTATTATTTTCATGAACATCTAGTTTGAAATTATTTGGGATCAGTTGGATTATTCATTACGTGATTAGCAACTGAAATTCTTTGAGAATCCAGACAGCAGTAAAAACAAAAAGTTAATTATGTGAGTTTCCGCTAGTTTATGCTCAATTGTATTAATTTTAATGCTTATTACAGCCGTTGCGACAACTGGAATGTTATAGTGCACTGCAAAGCATGTAGAACGCCCCCACACGTAATTTATAGCCAACAAGTTTTCGGATAATTGATCAAGAATGCTTATATTGTATAGAATAGCTCGGGACAGGGGGGTACGAATGGGGAGTTTTCTCCTCCACCACTTGGTGTCAATCAGTCACGTGTACTAAACTGTGAAAACTGACTGACAGTTATGGACATATTAAAGATCATTGACGTAATAGTGATATTAACTCACTCGTGTAACTGATATCCATCCAACATCTGGCAAAGCTCGTAATAAACGATACATAAAAACCCACTATTAGCAGAAACTTGGGCGTAGCATAATGCTTAGCATGATGAGATGTGAAACCGAGGTTTCTCTGTTTTAGCTCATTACCACTGGAGGAGAAGGTTATAAGAGTGATAATCAAATCTCGTTCTTCTACCAGACAAGAGTAGCCCTCTAATCGGTCTGTGCAACATTAAGAATAACTATGTGCAGATGGTTCTAATGTAGCTTTGCGTGAAGATTCTGAAACAAGAATGTGTGTGTGTGTGTGTGTGTGTGCGTGGTATATAGGGTGATCCAAAATTATTTTTCACATTTTAAAATCTAATAATTAAATAAATACCACCATGCATTTTTCAAAATCTTGTGGTCCAACTCTGTTATTATTGATATGTCAGTAGACTTCCACGTGTGCTCTATTAGTGACTCTCAGGACGTCCAACCGAAATTCGATTTCAGTCCACGTTCGCTGCAACATGTCTATAGTGGCGATGGCGTCCGTTATCCTGGTCTTTAGCTCCGCGATGTTTGATATAGGTGTGCGATACACGATATCCTTAACATACCTCCATACTTTTTTTCCGTAATTACGCTGCCCCACAGCCACTAACTTGATCTTTCCAACCCAAACGACACAATGAGTCTTTTCTTACACGGTTGCAATTTTACAGGTGTAAAATTACTAATTAGAGAGAAAAAACGTGACAATAAAAACTGTTTTGGTTGGGCTAAAAATGCTGAAAACTGCACGGTTGTATTTCCTTAGTTATCAAGGTTTAAAATAGGGAAAGTTAGGTGTAGACACCCTGTGTGTGTCTATATATACAGTCAGCCACTCAGTCGATCACGCTCGATTTCTCCGAATTTCTGGAGCTACACGAGTCCAATTCCACTTTTTCTCCTATAATTCTTCATCTTTTGATTGCTCGTTCCAACTTTCTAGTACATATAAAAATCTGCCAAGGAAGTAGTTTTTATACCGAGGATTTATTTAGCACCGAGTGAAATTAAATTGCCGTTTGTTATGAAGAAGATTTTTTGATCGATGATCGAATATTTACAAGAAATGTGGTTTTAAGAGAATTATTGTAATAGTGTAATTGACGTGATTAGAAAACAACTGTGATAAACTAATGCTGGGAAGAGGTAAAGTACATCCTGCTCATGATAGGCTTTCGTTTCCGTAAGCTAGAAGGCCTTTTATTTTTCTTATATAAATCCGATCGGTATTCAAGCTTCTCTACAAAATGTATCCACAAAAGAGTAGATATAAGTCTTATAAGTGGATAGATAGTATCTAACATGGGCACGGTGTATCATAATTGTTCATGAGTTACGTGTACATCAGTTACTGTAAGGAATACTGTCAGCGTTTTGGGGTATCGCCAACTGTACAACACACAAAACTGTGTAATACACGCGCCATTGATGATTGTAAGATATTTGGTGGCTACGGAGCTCGACATTCAACTCGTGACAGTCAATTCCAATTCTCGTTGGTAAAGAGTAGACCAAGAGTTGGCGGTGGATGATGTTCACTAGCTGCCTTCCATCTACTGTACCACTTCAAAATTAGGGATGGCTAGTGTAGACCACTCTCGAGTAGCTTTGCACGAAATTCAACGAAACGAAAACCATACGTCGTATCAAACACTTTATTTTGACAAAATATTATCATTGGTCCATAGATAGGAGCTAAAAACATGAAAAATTAATGTTTCTTACGAGTTCTCTTAAATAATTTGTTATAAATGAAGTGTCATTGATCGACTCCTGATGAGATCCCTCCTCCAAGATGTTGGATGGACTCTGCTGTGTGAATGTTTCACTGTTTATATACATGTATTTGAAATATGTATTACGTACAATTTCTCAGAAATTCAAACCACGTGCCATAAATGGGACACAATCATAAAATATTCTAACTCTGTCCGATTAATTCGTCCACGTGGTATGATGGTCCAGAACTATCATATATTCTAATCCTGTCCGACGAATTCATCCCCGTAGTATGATGGTCCAGAACCATCGTATATTCTAATCCTGTCCGACGAATTCGTCCCCGTGGTATGATGGTCCAGAACCATCGTATATTCTAATCCTGTCCGACGAATTCATCCCCGTAGTATGATGGTCCAGAACCATCGTATATTCTAATCCTGTCCGACGAATTCATCCCCGTGGTATGATGGTCCAGGACTACCATGCTAACTTTAACTGGCAATCATTTTCATCTATAGCTTTTTAAAAAGTTTTACAAGTAGTCACATAGTGGAGATGTATTGTCAAGCAGGATGTGGTAACGAATTCATACAAATCAACGGAGATAGTCCTGTATATAACTAAATCCTCGTGCATTGACTGTGGATGTCAGCGTGCCGGACTGTGAATTCGCGACAACGATATTCGAGTCCTGTTACCAATAGCAAAAAAAAAAATAAATAAATAAAAATTACACTCCGCACTTTGGAGCCGAAGGCGCTGATAAATAAACTGCCTGCCCTCATTAAGTATATAAGCTCAAATTTATGGACGGCTACTGCAGATGGCCCCTTTAAGCTTTGAATTACCAAAGTGTAATTTATGAATTACCACAGAAAAGTAAAATATTGATGGGCACATATATCGGAAAATAAAGTATTTGGTATAGAATCAAGGCTGATGTTTTTTTTAATACAACACAAACATACACACATATTATGCAAAGTTTGGTGTAGAAAGTGTCAACGAATAATTTTTCTTCTTGTTTTTTCAGACAATCAGTTGAAGTGCGACTGTCGACTGAACTGGGTGGAGGAATATGCCAGTCTTGCCAAATATCTTATTTTTAAGAAGGAACTTCACCAAATGCAATGTACACAAGAGAACATTCGAGTGACTAAACGTGTATTAGACATTAACTTTGATGACTTCCGGTGTCTTGAAACGTCAACATCATCGTCAGTGACTTTCAAGGCTTCAGTTCAAAGAGCAAATGCAATAGAAATCCACCTGTACAAACGTACTGAGGATGGAGAAAATTCTTTATTTGAAGCTACAGTATCAACATCTTCTGAAAACCTCAAAAATGTTTCTAATATGCAACCGCATGTTAATAGCCACAGGCCGTTGGAGTTAGTGCCATCTATTGAGAGAAATGAGAACTCTGCTTGGTGTGTTTTTCCCGTATTTCATCGAACGATATTTACTTCCATAGCATTAGTGTTCCAGAAGATAATGATATAATTTCTTTTTAAATTAATGGCAGGGTGTGTGATTATATTACAGAGACACAATACTTAATAAAAACAAAGTAATGGGATCGATGTTATATGATTTTGATTCTTAGCCATCGCAATCTTCATAAATATGACGAGAAATCTTTAATTTCTTCAGTAAGTCTTATTAGTTTAAGCAGAGATCTGCTTTAAGAATGCATATATATGTGTATTCCTAAATCAGGTCTCTCTTTTACTTTTCGTAATTTACCTTTTTCATAATAAGAAACAATTTTTCTCATGTTAATAAAATAATAATTTGTCATTGTTAGTTAATAGTTATAAATATATGTATATATATTTGTTTGTGGAAAGAGCAAGTGCGTCTAAACTGTTCACTTATAAAAGTATTATGGAGCAGAAATGTTTGGGCGAGGCTTTTTTTTCTTGTAAAACTTAAAAGCTGTGTACGCCTACTAGGTTTATGTTTAGTTTTCAATAACTTTAAACAAATAACTTTAAATATAAACTTGAAGTTAGTATTTTGTGATAAACTTTGTTCTTTTTTTTTTAGGATTAATAAACAATAAATCAGAATTGTAAAATAAATATTATGAAAAAAATGGTGTAGATATTTATTTGTTTTTAAGCACAAACTTACACAATGGGCTATTCGTAATTATCGAAACCCGATTTTTAGCGTTGTAAGCCCACGAAATTACCTCTAAGCCACCAGGGGGCACATCGTGATTTAACACGACGGTTAGCATACTGAACAACAGATCCGACGGTCCAAGACTCGAGCCCATGCCTTGCTGATGAGCGTGATCTACCTTATCCCAAACAAAATCTTTGAACCTTCGTTCTAGTCATTTTGTGGATAATAAGTGTTCCTTTACTGGTAAGAAATCTACTGTACCACATTTTTACACTTATCCATACAAGCATGATAATAAGAATGAATTTTTTGGGAGGAAGGAGTCAAGAATTGAGAAGCTTTAATCAAAAATGCTGATGCCAAACCCTCTATTAGCCATTCTTCGAAAATTTCTCGAGTACCAAATTATATGCACTTGTACTCAGTACAGCTTAAATGTATTGCTTGCCTTTCTTCAAAATATAGAGCAATATTGTTTTTATTGCAGTCCTAACTCGATAAAAGAGATAGCTAATTATATTTTGAAGTATATTTTAATTTTACATGGCCGGTTAACCTTTTCTGTCATACACGTATTTACAAGTGTGTCAAATTAGTATTAAATCTTGCTTACACTGAGGTTATGTACCAGATAGGTCCTTTTTAAAATGGAAGATGCCCTTGATGTACACTGTTCAAAATGGATATCCTTTCGTCGAAATTCCCAATATTTATTCCATAATCTGATATCA